TATCGGCGTGGATTTGACAAAGCAAATAAATAAAAAAAAAAAAAAAAAAAAAATATAGAAAAAAGAAATATCCATTAGGATAAGAAAAAAAAAAAAATCACGAGTCATTTACCGGCAACAGCAGTTCTTTTTTTCTCTCAAGAGACAATCAGCACCAAACCAAATGTTTCAAAAATTCTTCTTCTACAACTGCCAATAAAAATATATCAAATCAATAAAAAATGAATCCTTACGCACGCTTAACACCTGGCTAGCTATAGTTAAGCAAAAATTAAAAATAATCTTCCACAGTTTTTAATTAAATTACATTTAATTACACTACACAGTTTATTCTTTTTTTCCAGATTTTTTTTTTTTAAACTTAACGAAATAACACGAACCAAAGGTGAACTTTCTAAAATTTATAAAAAGTTGAAACTTTTCGCGTCAAAAGATTTCTCGTAATAGTAAATAAAATTATCATTACAAATAAGAAAATTGTTCATCTACATCTATTTTTAGAAAATTTAGCATGTTTGATCATGTGACCACTTTAACGTGAATTGTACAGTAAACAAGCAGAGGAGCTGAAACTGCAGCTTCTCCATGAAACACTTTTTTAGTTTTCAAAGACATTCTATTATTCCCCCCCCCCAAAAAAAATCCCTTTCATTTCCTACGGGTCTTTTTCTTTTCTTTTAAAGTTTTTAACATGTCCTCCTTAAAAGCAAATAAGATTCCAATTCATTGTTTTATTACTCCAAATTGCATTTTTGGTACAATATGTGATCAAGAAAAAAATCTTTCCATCGAAAGAGAAAAATTATAACCAAATCAAATGATACAAAAAAAAAAAAAGGGGGGGGGTCTGCTGCTAGTAAATTTATTAACCCAAATCAGAAACGAAATAAAGCGGAGTTAATGAAGAAATAAAGTGGGATTTTTATTTATTTTTTTTTTTACATTCATTATGTGTGTCGGATTTATTTTTATATACGCAATTAAATGTTTTCGGTTTTTCTTTTTCATCCTTTATTTTTAAGTTTTACTTTTTTTACAACACAATTGTTATGGTAAATAATTACATTTAAAAAAAAAAAAAAAAAAGAAAGTTTGTTATTGAGTTGGAGGGGGAATATGAACCGTAAATTTACTGAGAACGTGTCACAAGGCTGAGAAAAAAAAAAAAAAGAAACGGATATTTTTAGTATCTAATCGAGCCACGAATTAAAAAAAATGAAACAACACTACAGGGGCTAATTAATAACTATTTAAATAAATAAAAATCTTCTATGGATCTATTTCAGTTTAAAATCTGTTTAAAAAATATGACAAATAAAAAAAGCTTTTTTCTTATGGAGTGGAGCTTTGAAAATGAAACCAGAAAGAAACACATGCTCCGAGTTAATCAACAAATGAGTGGGTGGGTGGATATGATGATCATAAATCTTTTTTTTTTTTTTTTTTTTTTTATTTACTTGGGCATCATTTTGGGCAAGTACAAGAGATGGGACATTCACAGCAATTTAAACGATAGCACTTTCTTCTTAAAGTAGTAGTGTTTTACGAATAAGCCTTTGTTTTGTTTTGTTTTTTAATTTTAACAAGCATTTTTCAGAATACCAAATAGGTGAGGGTTTTTTTTTAACCTGTCGACAAAAGAGCACACAATACGTCTGTTTTTCTTTTGGTTTTCTAACATTTAAGTTGATTTAACTAACATTTTTCAATCTAAAACAAAGTTAATTCTTTATGTAATAATTTATTGTTTTTATTTGGATTCTATGACATAAAAAAGATAATTTGTGGAGTTGAAATATTCACAATATAAAATATGGTAACAAAAATTCGCACTGAACCAAAGAAAATTTGTGAGTAAAGCGGAAAGCCGGTTTCAGTGAGTGGGCGAAATAAATAAAATGAACATTCCAAAAGGCAAAAGTTATTTTCAATATCTCATCTTTTCAGTTTGTCTTAAACTGGAAACAATTAAAAAAAAGTAGGGGTTCAACTTTGCATTTGAGTTCGCTCTTCTGGTACAATTAATAATTTCTCCATTTGGGACTGCAAAATAATAGGAAGTAGAAATGAAAATAAATAACATCGTCTCTCAAGTTTTGAAATTACTCTTGTAGCGGCAATTAAGTTAATAAATTTAAATGTCTTTAAAAACAGGATTTTAAAGCAATTTAGAAACTCACAAAATGGGTTACGATTTAAAAATAAAATAAAACTAGTCAAACATTTAAAAAAATATATAAACAATTTTGTTTCAGCTTTTTTCCGTTTTTCAGTGATGATAGAGCAAATTTAAAAACCAAAAAAAAAAAAGTAATTACGTTGTTCAAAAAGATATGCTTCATACTTAATTTTTTAATAAGGTACTTTTTATTTAAATAAAAAAGAAAATTGCTTCCTAATTTATCCGACTGATTTATTGTTTAATTTTTTTTTTTTTTTTGTTGCTGTTAATAACCCAAAATAAGAATCCTTACTTTTTCCCATAATTTGGAATATAGAAATAAAAAGGAATTTATTCGTAGGATGAAATTTTTAAATGTCATAGTAGTAGTCCCTTCGAATCAGTTTGTCGCGCTAAGCATTTTGAGGGAGAATTTAATTAAACGCATAAAATAAAGAGCATATTTTAAGAATAACATTTTAAGAAAACAAAACATACGCAACAAAACCGAATTTCAAAGTAATTCATTTAAAAACAAACAGGTGTTCTTGTTGCTCAGTATTTAACTTAAATCATCACTTGAAATATTACATTTTTTTCTAGCCTCATATTTCGAGTATGCTATGCATTTCCATACAAATTACAATCGAGCTGAAAAATTAAAGACAATCGTATTTTTAAGTTTTATAATGACAGAAAAATCCCTTTTTCTGCAGAGGCGATGTAGGCAGAAATTGAAACGTGTGTCAAATCACATGAGTGAGTTTTTAAGAAGATCGTTCTAAGATAAGGAATTCTTATCCTCAAATTAACGGGACTCCTAAAAAAATATCACCGATAAATGATTTAGTTTGGTTTATCGGATTGTTCTTTTACTAACGATTTGGAAAAAGAATAATAAAGCCGAAAAGCTGTTGAAAGTTCTAACATCTTCAAACTGAGTTAACTGAAAATAAAATTAATTAAATAAACAGTAAATAAACTAAAAACACCTTGCTCAAACAAAAGAAAGGTGAAATTATATAAGTTTTTACTTTTTTAATCTTAAAAAATATTTCCATTTTTTGCAATAGATTTCTTCGTAGCACAAAAAAAAAAAACAGCCGTAACACTAAACTTTTAGTTTTAAAACATGTCATAGTCATCATGAAGTAATTTTTTTATTTTATTTTTGTTTTGTTGTTTACAAAACGTCACCCACTAACATTTTTGAATTTCTTTGCCTTCAAAACTGAATATTTTCTGCGGTAATTACTAAAAAAACGACATAAACAATTTTTCGGAAAATCAATTTCCTTTTTTTCAGATTTTATTTATCTGTCAAATTTTACTGCAATGAAAATAACTTTTTAAATTCCACAGCATTTTTTCTGTTAGCAAATTCCATCATAAATGCATAAAAATTTAATTTAACTAAAAGTTAAACTTAGTGTCCTTTTTATATTCTACGTATGCAACTGTTGTATATCTATTTATTTATGAAAATCCCAAAGAGAAAAAAAAAACAATAAAAAGTTAAAAAATATAACAAAAGCAGAACAAAGTTTTTTTTTTAAATTTTAAAATATATTATTGTTGATAAGTATGTTTTTCTTATTTTGTTGACTAAACGATCCGTGATGTTAGTTCGCTCGATGAAAAATGTGGGGGTCGATGCAGGGAAATAAGGATAAAAAATTTAAATAGGTATTCTATTCTTAAATTTTCTTTTACTTTTCAGAGAAAAAAAAACATTTGAAATTTAATGTTTGTTTATACTAGTCGTGTTTGTTATTCAAGTGATTAACTTTAGATAACATTTTGCAATTTTGAAAAATTAGATTTTTGTTAATTTAAAATTAAAATTTTTAAAAGTTAAAAATATAACCGAATTTTCAAAATTCTAGTTTTTACTTTAAAAAAGGTCAACGAGCTTGTGTTGAACAGATTGAACTGAATTTTTGTTAAAAACTTAAAATTAAAACCTTTTTTAAGTCTCAGTAGTGTTACTGTTAATTTAAGTGTTAAAGTGTTAAATAAATAAAGTTAATTTTTACTGACAAAAAATTAAACGTTTCTTTGTATTTCTTTACACTTTTACAGCATTATTCAGGTTGTTGATCGATGATATCAGTTATCAAAATAAAAATAACCGTTCTGAAAATTACAGAAAAGCGTGTATTTAAAAAGTATTAAATTACATTTGAATTAAAAGAAAAAAGATGCAATTTTTTTTTTTTTTTGTAAAATGAAAATACTGTTCTAGAAGAAAACCTTGTTTTTATTTTTAAACTTGTGACCTTTCGTTTTAAAACATTTTACTTTTAAATAGTTTTATTTTTTCGATAAAAACAATTATTCGATTCATAAACTAATCAACACGAATGTTTGATTGTAAAAATTAAGGAAGGATTCAAATTACTAAAAAATTGTTCTTAAAAATCCCTCATCACTATTCTTTTAAGTACAAAAAACAAACGATTTTATGTAATTACAGCTGATTTAGTCCTTTTTATTATCCCACTGGAGACGAATGTCGGTGTGGGGATGAGAGGACTGAAGAGAAATATTATCGAAAAGAAAAATCACTAAAATGAACCACAATGAAGCTTTTAAAATACGAGTATTTTAATCATATAACAATGTATTGGCTTAAAATTTACATAACTGAATCTGATCGTGGAAAGTACAAGGTTTTTAGTCGGCTTTTTCGCAAATTAATATGACTCTATAAGCAGCCATCGTCGTCGTCTGCCCTCCGACATAGGCGGATTTATTTATCTTTTTCTTTTTTTTTTTTTTTTGGCACACCTTTCTCCTGAAATTCCTTAAATAAAAAATAATCTAACTCGACACCTACCTAGACAAATGCTTCAGGATTTGGTTTTTCAGTAGGGATGTCATCCTGAAGTCGTGTCTGTTTTTTTTTTAAATCCTCAAAAGCTTAACATTTTCATAACGTCCCGCAGATCCATGGCAGCGCCATTATATGTGTATGTGTGTGTGTGTGTGTGTGTATATACGCGCGTGCCGCTTGGGTTTGCGATAAAATGCGAGGGAGACTCGACTTTTGAGTTGGAACTACCGTAAAAAGTGACAAATTCTGCACTTTTACTTCGGATCGATTTCACCCTAGACCCAGGCGAATCATTTTATTTTTACACATTAATTTTTTTATAGCCGAAAAAATCGCTTCGTCATTTTGATGACTGCATTTTTTTCTTTACGTTATTAAATTTATTATCTTTGTGGTGAGCGGCAATTCGTTGCTATTGGTAACGGGAAGCTGGAGTATAATCTACGAGGAAAAAAAAGTTTTTTAAAAAAATGCAGAAAAGTTCGAAATTTTTTTTTACGTTAGTAACTTATAATAAAATGTTGGTGTGCGTAATAAAAAAATATAATGAAAATGTGAACTAATTGAACATTATGGTTCAATGCCACAAGGGATTTATCACCTGGTGACCAGGACTCTTTTTTTTTTTTTTTCCCTTACAGAACACACCACACCACCATACCTCAATTTTAAACGTGTGTTTAAGCTTCCTTTTCCACTTCATCTCTGTTTTACATTAATTTCACACCCAGAATTATATTTGTAGAAGAAAAAAGTTTATTTAACTGCCTATAATTAACTGTTGTTAAAAATAAATTTTGGAATGTAAAGAATTTGAATTGAGAGATTTAAGCTAAATATTTTGAGAACTTTGCAATTGTTGTAATTTATGGGCACCTACCATAGTGCAATACCCATGTCCCCCAACACATTTTCACATACACTCTTTTTCTCACACATACACAAACACACAAAAAAGAAAAATCTCAAATGTGTAACCATTAAGAGTAATTTCTAAATCAACAGAATGAGGCATTGAGGTTTAACTGTCAAAATGTATTACCAATATAAATATCCACCTTTCTAAGCTTGAATAAAAAAAAATTAGTCATTTTTGCAGGATACAAAAAGAGATGAAAAAAAACTTGTTTAAGAATCATAATGGATCATTTACTATAGTGGAAGGAGTATTTACTAAAACACAATGATCAGCAAGTTACCCATCCAGGCTATTATGACTATAAAGTATTTGATTTTCACTGGGTATCTCTCCCATACTTGTGACTTTGTGCCAGACTATGCTAAGGTTAATAAAGACCTATTCAAATTGATGAGGGAAGATAAATTAATGCATAATCAGTAAATTCATTTTGAATTCCAGATGAAGTTACGTGTTCACTTCACATATATTTAAGGAAAGCATTAATTTCCTTCTCCCTGTCTTCTGTCCTACTACCAGACAAATCTTGTTGTATATTATAGAGGTTGACAGAAAAGTGATTGATTTTTTTTAACAGGCTATTACTCCTTTGCAAGTTATATAAAGTAATATTTTAGATTGTAAGAATAATTCTTTTTTTGAAAGTGAATATTTTTTTTGAATAACTGATTTTCAGATACAAGTTTCATATCTAGTGGGGGAGTTGAATCCACACCTTTCGCTAGGATATTTGTGCATAAGTGAATGCAAAGAACCCAACTTGAATTCAAAATCAGCTCTCCTGATTTTTTATTCAAAGCTGCTATTGTACCACCCACACATCTACTGAGAGAAAAATGAAGGCATTCTTACTAGCTAATGTCTCATGTTACTTTGAGAGAAGATAGCCAAGTAATTCTCCTTGCTTTAGAAATGTCATTAAGTACAAATCCAGTATGAGATACTGACAATTTCATCTCAATTATATTTCCTTAAATAACAATACTAGTACCACTTTTTTGGGGGGGGAGGGGTGCAGATGCCAACGAAAGAAAAAATTAAAACTATATTATAGTTTCAATCAATTTACAGTATCAAAAGTGAAAATGTACTTATTTTCTCCTATAGAAACCCCCAAAATCATTATATATTAACTATAAAGATCATTATACTAATTGGAGAGCCCACTTCACGATATACCATACAACCCATTACTAGTTTTGGGAGTTTGATTGACTAAACGTTATATTAATCTATATTTGGCAAATATCTTGGATGTTTGCTATGGCACAATCTCATCTACAGTGTAAACTACTTAAGTTGGTATTTTGCTTATCCAACAAAAGCTCATGGTCTGATAGAAATTCATTGTGACCTACTTGGACCAAATAAAGTCTGGCACAAACTACACATGTAAAACTACAAAAGAAAATATGACTTACTCTCAGTGGCTTGTAAGATTAGTATGCTTATTACTACACTGCCATAACTAATCAAAATCAATTTGGTGAAAGACTAAAAGTGGTATTTATCTCATCTGTAACTTATCTCACTCTTGCAGAGAGAGAAAGTGACACATGGTAAGACATTAGCTAGATGATGACACTATAGCCATTAATGTCTTACCATTATGTGGAAGGTATTTCTGAAATATATATAAAAGTGGAGACTGAGGTCAACACAGAGAGACAAGTATGTCTAATACTTGAGCACAATCTTCTGGCCATAAAAACAGCCACCTCTTGGTGTTGACCTGTGTCCACTTCAGTATTTATGTACACTTTATCCCTGATATTGAGCAATTTTACCCATAAATATAATATACCTTAAAACCATATTTTTATATATATATATGAGAGAGAGAGAGAGAAACTCTTAAGTTATTGCTTTATTTTTATATATACTAAACAAAAAGATAATGGTACAGTAATAAATAATCCTAATACATAATTCTGGAGTTATAGGGTTGAAAAATACCTATCCACTGAAACTGAGAACATGTTCATTAAAAGAGACTTCACCTTTTGCAACTGTGTATTTTAGGCTTTGTGGTTCATTTCTTGGTTTTTGTTATAGACTGAAATAAATTCCACAGAACACAAAAGTAATTCATATATTTTAATAATACAATAAAAAAAAATATTCACAGTTTAAAGTATTGGCTTATGCATTTAAAAATTTATAACCACTAAAAAGAAAAAAAAAACAATATCCTTAATTTTTCAACAGCATCACAAAATATTCTTCTACTTTTTCTTTTCTATTCAAATCTTCCATTTTGCAATGGTCTGTGAGGAAGAAAGCCACTGAAAGTTAGAATATGAGAGCATATGAAGTGTTACAAATAAGTTGTTACCAACTTTTAAAGTAGGTTAAATAGTTACCTATTTTCCACTAGCATCAGTAACTGGAGTTTAAGCACGAGTAAAAACCAAGATTTCAAATATTGATTTTCAAGAGCAATAAGCTCTCCTTGAGAAGGCTGGCACAACAAAATCAAACAACCCAAATTTTACCTTGTGCCATATTAAACTAATAATCATAGCTAAGTAGGTATTAACAATCATAAGAAGACTATATAGATGTTCATATTCAACAGAAATATTTTCCTTTCTATTAAATTTGTTGGAAAATTTAGATATTTTATCTATCTTGTTTAGTCTTTAATTTGGAGTAAGCTTTTTCTTCCTTTTTAACTTACCTGTTTTTAACAACTTTGTTGTTTGTATGAAAATCACTGTCCATTAATTTTATCAATCTTTGTATATACAAAAAGAAACATCTTGCCATAAAAGCCAACTGTATGCTCTCAGTACCATGTTTCTAGCATTAACCTTTTGAAATGGCACCAATCAAATTCAGCCACATTTAAAATTTTGTCTTTCCAGATCCCTTAGCCTCATATCTTACTGGTACTAAAATAAATTCAAATATCAATGTACCCGATTTTGTTGAAGGATAGATTAAAGACTTTCCTTGTACTTTTTGTTTATCTACGAAATTAGAACTATTCAAGGGAAAGAACTCTTGATGACTGATAAATTTATGTTGTCCTCGTAGTTATTGCTAAATAATAGAGAACACGTGGTCGAGAGGTTGAAATTCTGGACATAGTGTGAGTTAGTTAAGCTCATTATATTCTCATCACCGGGATAGTTACTAATTATTTTAAAAATATTTTTTTTTTCTTTATAACTTCTCGTTTTACTTTTATTTTCATCTTAGTTTTTTTTATTGCTTTTTTATCATAGAAACTAAGATGAAAATAGAGAAAAAAAAATTGGTTTGAAAGCTCAGCAAAAAACAGTCTTGAAAAGACACAATAACTCAAGAAAAAATATATATGTAAGGTAATCTAAATAACCTTAGGTATCAGTTCTGTGTCCACATAAACTATTTCATGTAGATACTGTTTAGGAACACATGAAACTAACATCCATCCAAATACATACATACATTTGGCACATAGCTTTATATCAAGCACATGATCTGTCATTATCAAGATTGTCTTACAAGCCATAAGCCAGTGGATTTGATCTTCTATGGTGGCCTTGTGTCACACTTGTTTAAAATTCATAAAATAAAAGATAAAATAGGTGTAATTGCTATAAACAGAAATATTTGAGTAAATTCTATTCATTGTAAATAAAGCACAAATATCTTACATATAACTGTACTGAATTACCGAGTTAAATTACCAGATCATTGTTTAAGTCGACAAAATTTAAAACCAAGAATAGAGCTTATTCTTCTAGTAAATCTTGTCCATTGAAGCTGAGTTTTGCAACTGACAATTTCCTTACAGGAATGTTTGTGCTCAGAACCTACAAATATGTCCTTATACCTTGTAGAAATGAAAAACAGTTATATCTACCAAACAATCTTCATTGTTAACTGAAACAAAGAAGATAACCTCCATTAAAAAAAAAAAATAAAACAACTAAGAACAAACAGGATATGAATCAAATGTTTGGGCAGTTCAGAGGTAACTACTCCCTTGATTATCCAGACACCTTTGAACAAGGGTTGAAAAAATATGTTTGAATAATTCAAAATTCTGAATACCTAAATTATCAAAAAAAAAAAAAAGAATGAAGAAAAAGTCATTTTCTGAAATAAATTTAACATTTCCAAAAGCTTTGTTCAAGA